ATTAAACGATTTACATTGTTTCTCATTATTACACTAAGGTAATGTGTTACTTTATTAGCTAATCTATTTATTTTTTATAGATTCAACTTAATATGAAATGATCATGTCTGTTCTGATTTTTACAGCGCTACTTGCATTTGGCTCGGCTCTTCAATTTTTAAAAAATAGTTTATAACTAACATTTTCTATACTACATCTTGTCAATGGAACCCTTTAATAGAGAAGATATCTCTGATCCTCTAGCTGATTTTCTTCCCACCTATGAACCAGAAAATCTGCCTAGGTTACCGGCAAAGCGACTTTATCGTCAAAGGGCACATTGCAATCCCTGGTCTGATCATTCTTTCTTTCCTCCAAAGAAACCATCTGAAATAGATTGGTCACAACATTATCCTTCTCCTGTATCTAGTCTTTCGGATGAGTTGATACGACATGCCGACATTGGGTGTGGTTACGGAGGATTACTTTTTCATTTGTCGACTATTTTCCCGAATATCCGCAGTATTGGAATAGAAATACGTATTAAAGTTTGTGACTATGTCCAGGTAATCATTTGATTTAGTTTATAGCTATCGCTGTTTTGCTTATTTTACTTAAAACTGGTCGTTTTTGTTAAAAAGGAAAAGATACGTGCATTACGTGAACAAAACCCTGGAGAATATGAGAATATAGCCTGCATCCGAACGAATGCTATGCGATTTTTGCCGAATTATTTTAATCAAGTACGTGTGCACAAACAGCAGATTAATTTCGTTTGTGTTAGGATATCATAGTCTATCAATTTTTCCATCTGTTCTTTTCAGAGCCAGCTTCACAAAATATTTTTCCTGTATCCCGATCCACACTTTAAGCGCGTAAAGCACAAATGGCGCATAATAACTCAATCCTTGTTGGCTGTATATGCTTTCCTACTCATCCCTACAGGCCGCCTTTATTCAGCCACTGATGTACCTGAGTTAGCGGAATGGATTGTGGCTCATTTAAGGCATCATCAACTTTTCAAAGAAATTTGCTATACACGTTTTGAATGCCCTGCTAATAAACAGGGCTTAGAAGCAATTCAACTGTTAAAAGGGG